TTAATGCTGATGAATCTGGTTTATATTGTAAGAAAATGCCTGGTAGAACCTACATATACAAGCAGGAGAGGTGTGCCTCAGGGTTTAAGGCAGCCAAGGACAGATTGACGCTCACCTTCTGTGGCAATGCAGCTGGCCACATGATCAAGCCTGGCTTGCTTTACCGCTCAGCAAACCCTAGGGCTTTAAAGGATAAAAACAAGAACCTTTTGCAAGCGTTTTGGCAGTGAAACAAAAAGGAATGGTTAACTGTGCAAGCATTCCGGGACTGGTTCCATAAATGCCTCATCCTGGAAGTGGAAAAATACCTTGCTTCCAAGATGTAATTTAAGGTGTTATTATTGACAGATAATACACCAGGCCACCCAGAAAGTTTGCAATTTAGCCATCCAAGTATAGAGGTGGTGTTCCTATCCTCCCTAACACCACTGCTCTTATCCAGCCTCTCGATCAGGGTGTAATACGCACCTTCAAGGCGTATTATACACGTCGCTCTTCTGGTCGCATCCGTAATGACCTGACCTTGATGGTACCAAGTGTTGGAAGGAGTACAACATTGCAGACTGCATTACCAACATCAGTGAATCATTCAGTGAACTTAAACCAGAGACAGTGAATGCTTGTTGGCACAACTTATGGCCTGAGTGTGTTAATAACTTTCAGGGATTTCCATCCATAGTAAAGGATGTGAATGACATTATGAGTGTTGCACGTCAGTTCGGTGGTAAGGGGTTTGTGGACATGGCTGCTGAAGACATGGAAGAGCTGATTGATGGATATGGAGAGGAACTTACAGAACAGGATTTGGAAAAGTTGGTAAAAAGTGCCGAGGAAGATGAGGAGGAAGATATTATGGAATTACAACAAGAAGGTTGGAGCTTGGAAAATTTTGGTGAACTATTTCGTCGGGTAAAGATGGTGAATGATTTCATTGTTGACCACGACCCTTCCATAGAATGCAGCCTTAAGATGGTCAGAGGAATCAACCAGGTAATGTTTTGCTATCAGGAAAAGTTTAAAGAACTCAAAGCAGAGGAAACAACTACCAATCACCATGTTTTTTAAGAAAGAATCAACTAGTACTACCACTGGCGCTCCACCCTCCTCCTCCCAGTTACCCGCTACCTCACCACCCACCTCTCGGCCACCCCACCAACCACCATTGCAACACCCTCTTCCACCAGTGATCTTGATGATCCACCTATGCTTCATTAACCAGATGTCTCCCTATGTACAGTGCACCACTTCATCAAGTTCCAGACTTCCACCTACTTATGTAAGTACAGTACAGTACTGACTTAAGTTTCTCATACACAGTATAGGTATACCTGTATATTAGTGCACTAAGGTATTATATAAGTGGCTATTTGCGCCAATTCGAGCCATTTTTGGGAAACCTATCCCTTGCGAATGGCAAGGGTTTACTGTACTGTCAAAATGCTGCGAACTCTGTTAATTCGGATTTTTCGGTATTTCAAGTGACCCAGAGCCCTTTTTTGTCAAATTAGCAGGGTTGTAGTGTGTATAGGTACAGTACAGGAAAAACAGAAAATATTGAGATCCAAACACACTCAGCATGCTAGTAAATAACATTACAGTGGTCCCTTGGTTAACGAACGCAATTCGTTCCACAGTCGTTCGTTAACCGAAAAAAAATTTTGTTAACCGAATCCATTATTTCAATGGGATATTGGGTAATTGGTTCCAGCTCACAGAAAAGTACATACAGATTAAAGCCAAAAACACAAAGTCAGAAACACTCCAAAAATTCCCCTAAATCGCCCTTAAATCACTATACAGTGGTCCCTCGGTAAACGAAATCCTTACGAAAATAACGTTTTGTTGTGAGCATCAGTTGGTCAGCTTATGGCCCAGTCTGCCAATTCAGTAATCTGTTCTAAGTTTAAATTCGTTTCCAAAGGATTAAACATCATTTAAGTTGAGCTTTTTAACATTTTGAATGTTTTATATTAAAATTATTAGTCATTTTAACATTAAATATTGATAATATATGCAGTACTGTAGAGGGAACTAACATACCAGTTTGATATGAGAATCAGCTGATGGCCCAGTCTGCCAATTCAGGAATCTGTTCCAAGTTTAAATTCGTTTCCAATGGATTAAATATCAATAAATTTAATCTTTTTAATATTTTTTTAATGTTTTATATTAAAATTATTCGTCATTTCAACATGTATTTAACATATTGATAATATATGCAGTACAGGGAACTAGTTTGTTGTGCGCCCATCAGATGCGTGGGTCGGTCACCAGGCGTCAGTCCGGCTTTGTTTTCAGTGGAGAGAGTACCTATTTTGTTGGTGTCTTGAATATTTTTGCATTTTTCATTTAAATTATTGGTCATTCTCAACTTTAGTTAACATATTGATAATATATAGTGCAGTGTTGATTTAAAGAAAATAATCTTGAATTACACCTTGTGAACTTAAAATTTTATTGGTGAAATGAGGCATGAAGCATGGGTCCAAAGAAGGTGATTTCTCCTCCATTCCCACTTCCTTCTCTTCTCCCTTCTCCTCCACCCTCACTTCTAATTCCCATCATCATCATCAACCAGGAGCCTTCTACATACACACCTCAAAGTAAGTGTACTTTACTGCACTTTTTTTTTTTTACTTTATATGTACTTTTCGGTGAGCTGGAACCAATTACCCAATATCCCATTGAAACAATGGATTCGGTTAACGAAATTTTCGGTTAACGAACGACCTTCTGGAACGAATTGTGTTCGTTAACCGAGGGACCACTATATATATATACAGTGATCCCTCGGGTAACGAGAGCCTCGGTTAACGAAATTTTGGTTAACGCATTACCTTCCATAAGATTCTTCACTTCGGTTAACGAGCACTCCCTCGATTAACGAATTCCTTACGAGCGCCCCTCAACATGTTTTTGCTTGCTCACTAGCTGTCGTATTAGTCCGCCAATACAGTAATCGGTTCTAGGGCTTAAATTCCTTACCATTTTAGTAAATATCAAGAAAGTTGTACTATTCAATCATTTTAAAAGTTGTATATTAAATTTTTTAGTCATTTTAACAATTACTGAACATAATTGAAGTACAGGAACTAGTTTTATGCGTGCCAAACAGCCACTCAACACACCAAGCTTGGCGTCAGTTTGTTTACAGGTTCAGAGGAAGAAACATCTTGTTTGATACTCTTCAACATAAATGCTTTTTTTCTGTTTCCAGTCAAATTATTGATCATTTTGAAATATATTTTACATATTGATAATATATAGCGCAGTGCAGTGTTGATTTAAAGAAAATAATCTTGAATTACACCATTCTAATTCTCATCATCAACCTTCTACATGCACACCTCAAAGTAAGTGTACTTTACTGCATTTATTTTTCATTTGTATGTAATTTTCGGTGATCTGGAACCAATTACACAAAAACCCATTGAAACAATGGTTTTGATTACTGAATTTTTCGGTTAACGAGCAACCTTTTGGAACGAATTGTGCTCGTTAACCAAGGGACCACTGTACGTACATATACGCTCTTACTCTTAGATCACTACTGTAATGTGATACAGGTGATTAATTTTTATCTCTTGTGTAAAATATGACGTTTATATTCAAATTATTCGTTGTCTTGCAAGGATTTCAGCAATGCATATATATTCTCCTAACTCTAGTCTGTGATATTATATAAGATAAAAACTGCAAGCCTAAAACCCTGACTGGGCAGATGGGGGTGAGATGGTATGTTTGACAGTTGGAGTCGAAGGTCTCGTGTGTTTATTTAACAGTCCTTAAGTGACTAAGCTTCTCTCTTATAAAATGCCAGTGAAATGACCAGGGAGAATATACTTTACATTGCTGGGATTCTTGTAAGATAGTGATTAATTTGAATATAAACAAGCTATAAATTGCACTAGACATAAAAATTTTAGTACCGTAATCATTTAGTACATGTACAGTACAGGTTTGCACTTAGGTCATTTATTTCTTTTACGTTTCTTTTAGTATGGTGTGTGCATGTAAATGAATAAAAATAAATGAAGAAATTTATGCAAATCTACCCAGAAATACAGTTGAAAAACTGTACATTATTAAGATGTACAACAGTACACTAATGTACTAAAATTTTTATCTCGTGCAAAATATATGACATTTATATTCAAATTATTCGCTGTCTTGCAAGGGTTCCAGCAATGAAAATTATATTCTCCTAACTTTAGTCTGTGATATTATATAAGATTAAAACTTAAAGCCTCCTGTATAACAACCAAACCCTTGCTGGAAGTAGGAGGGGGGGGAGGGGAGGTGACAGTGACATGCTTGACAGTTGGCGCCGAAGGTCTAGTGAAGTATTTATTTGTTTATTTATGTCCTTTAGATTGAGTTTTTGTTTTTTTTTGCTTATAAAATGTCACAGAAGTGACCGGGGAGAATATAATTTACATTGCTGGAATTCTTATAAGATAGTGATTAATTTGAATGAAAACATGTGATAGTTTGCGCAAGACAAAAATTTTAGTACTCATTTTGTACATTATTTTGATTACATGTACAGTACAGCTTTGCCTTTAGGACAGTGTGTGAATGTAAATGAGTTTCAATAAATGAATAAAGTTACATATATCGAGCCAAAAATATTAGTTGAAAAACTTTATGTAGACAGAGTTGGATGGCTAAATTTTAGATTGACCAATAATTTTAATATAAAAAATGCCAAAATTTTCAAGAACACAACCTTCTTTATATTTACTCCACTGGAAACGAATGTAAACATAGAACAGATTACTGTATTGGCGGACTAGCCGATCAGCTGATACTCACAACAAAATGTGTTTGTCGTAAGGATTTCGTTAATCGAAGTTTTGTTCGTTAACCGAATTGAAGATCCTTACGAGAGCTAATTCGTTAACCGAAATTTCGTTAATCGATCCGTTCGTTAACCGAGGGATCACTATACATAAAATTATGTACTACATATACACAGCGTACCATTTCCAGCAACTTACGTAGCTAAGGGAGCTCTCATGTCATGTGACTTGCGTGTAAACATAAGGGCAGAGAGTCCAGCCAATCTGTCACCCTGTAATCCAAGTACGTGAACAAGCCGCAACAGAGATGGAGGTAGGAGAGACATACAAAGCTGGAACAAGCCATATCCAAAACTTACAGACGCCATCAGTCGAGACACCATATCAGGAGGTAAAGGCCGACTGAAACAAAAATAAGAATTAAAATCAGATATATCGTATGCTGTAAATTGGTATAAGTGGGAAAGTTCACTAAGGTATGTAAATGTTCATAAAAGACTTTAGTATATTCTCTAAAACTTCTTCCTGTAACTTCACAACATATATTCACATTCTTCTTAATAAACATTTGACTCCATACATCCATACAGACACCCCACGGCACACAAATAATTTCCATACAATCACCTTTACAATTCTCAAAATTTATACACTACAAATTACATACAGTACACTCTGAATAGTGATATCCCCATTAGCCAGAACAATTTGTGCAGAGCACTTCCGGGAATGAGAGATATCCGGGTAACAGGACGACTCTTTCAAACCCGGAAAAATCCTCCATCTCCGGAACTTTTCCGGGTACTGGGAAAAGTTGATCAGAATTTTCCGGAAAGTGTACATTATTTCATCCTTGGAATTTGCTCCCAAACTAGGAAAAGAAAAAGTTGGAGTTTCCATAACTTTCCAGAATTACACATTATTTCATCCTCTGAATTTGCTCCCAAACCCAGGAAAAAATTTGGAATGTCTGGAATTTTTCCAAGAATTTTTAGAAAATGCGCCTGAATTTACTCTCAGAAAATCGTTCCCAAACCCGGAATTTTCCGGAAAACTTACAAGCCAATTTCAATTTCAGTTATTGGAGAGTTCCGTCTGACGGAGATATTACGTACATACAACATCCTTCACAGTCATTCTTAAATTTCTCAAACCACACACCACTTACACTGACATTGATAATTCACTGGTCAACAGCCAAAATGGTTCACATATGAGATCATGCTCACACAACTAATTTCATATTGCTGAATTCGAATCTGATATTTGTTTTGTTCTATCAGACCAGGTTTTATAAAAAAATCAATAGGTACAAATATTTAATATTCCATCACATGTCGTGCAAAAGATGAGATTATCTCATGTGACTGTGCTTTCATGACTAATTTCATATTAATGAATATTAATTGGATGTTTCATTCTACCATCAGACCTACTTTCTTAAAGAATAAAAAAAATAGTAAATATAGTAACATTATCGCGTCATGCAAGATACAATTTTAAACCTATCACAGATAAGCTCATAAAAAATTGTACCAAAAAACATAAGTTCAAATCCTTTATAATGACAAAATATGAAGTTCTAAAAGTGCTTCTGAACTTTACTCTTTCTCTTGTACAGCTTGCTCTCTTCTCGTTGCAGTGTCCAGCAATAGTCGCCCATCATGTTAGGACTGAATTGTCCCTGATATCTGCTCTCCATTATGGCGATATCTTGATGAAATCTTTCGCCGTGTTCATCACTAACGTCTCCAAGGTTACCTGGGAAAAATTCAATATGAGAGTGGAAAAAATGCAATTTCAAGGACATCCTTGCTCCCAATGCATGATAATTCTGAAGCATGGTTGTTACGATTTCTTTGTAGTTGTCAGCACGATAGTTTCCAAGAAAATTCTTTGACACATTGACAAATGATTCCCATGCTTTTTTCTCCAGTGGGTTCAATGTTTTGGTGAATTCGCTATCATTAACTAGTATACGAATTTGTGGTCCATTCAAGACACCTGCTTTCAACTTGGCTTCGGAAACCACACCACCTAGTTTCTGAGATAAGTATAGAGTCCCAGCACCGAATTGATCCATAGCTTTGATGAAATTTTTAGCCAAACCGAGCTTTAGATGCAGTGGAGGCAAAAATATCTTTTCTGGATCTACAAGCGGATTGTGAGCACAGTTAAACCTTCCAGGCGCATCTCTTGGTCTTGTCAGCCAATCCTTTCTCACATAGTGCTCTGCATCAGCTCTGCTGTTCCACAAGCACAAAAAGCACATGTGCTTTGTGTAGCCACTCTGAAGGCCCAGTAGTAAACTGATGACTTTGAGATCGCCACATATCTTCCACTGGTGTTTCTCATACTCTATAGCGGCCAACAGAATTTTCATTGTTTCATAGCTCTCAGTCATTTTTGTTGCGTGTGCTATTGGGACAGATGGAAGCCGATTGCCATTGTGTAAAAGAACAGCTTTCAGAGAGTCTTTTCCTGAGTCTATAAACAGCCTCCAATCCTCTGTCTTGTATGTTTCAGACTTGCAGAGTTGTTGCATGAGAGATACTGCGTCCTCGCAATAACAAAGGTTATTTGCCATCTTGAAAAATGCAGACAGCTGTCTATATCGGTAACGCGCTGTAGTGATATGCACTCCATCTTCTAGCAGGTTACGCTGCTTTAGTCTGGATCCCAAAACTTCAGCCTTTTCTTTTGACAAGTTTAGGTCCCTGATGAGATCATGAAGCGCTTCTTGAGTAAATAGTTTAGGCTTGGTATTTTCAGAGTCATCCTGGTAGTTGTTTTCCATTGAGGTAGAGGTAAAATCGGAATCACTCAATTCTTGTTCAGTCGGTGGATTTGGGACTGGAAGTTCAGCACTGTGCGGTACTGGTCGGATTGCAGAAGCAATATTGGGGTACTGTACCTTGCCTCGTGTCTTGATTTTTATTCCCTTAATATTTGTGAGACAGAATTAGCAGTCACTACTGTGGTCTTTAGGTTCACGCCATATCATTGGTACAGCAAATGGCACTCCAGAACTTCGTTTACCACACATCCACTCGCTCAGGTGGTTAACACAAGACTTACAGGCTACATGAGGTGCCCATTTCTTGTCTTGGTCACCCAAATGACATTTGAAGTAACTTTTGTAGTTCAGTCGAACAGCTTTTGTGATTGGTTTCTTGAGGCTACCAGGAGTGAAGGCACCACATATGTAGCAAAAACTGTCAGCACCGTTCACACACTTGCGACGTTCCATGTTTTGTTAATTTCAGAGTAATTACAAATCATGCAGGTGTAGATATGCAATATCATGAATCAGCAAACTGAAACAAACAAAAAAGCACAAATCAGGACAAAATAATTGCATAAGTGGAGCCAATGAGCATATAAATTACTGTATGAATAGCATGGTACACTAAATATATAGATATGCTGGTTCTGGAAAACTGAGCCTGATACAGCTACACGAATGTCATAATTGAGTTCAGCACATACAATTACACTAGAATCAGACTGTTTTGATCCAGAACCATGAGAATTTTTTTTTTATGTTGACCAGTGGGATCTTACCTCTTGGGTTGATGTTTATTGTTTGAGTAGAGGAACCCCTTCAGGTTGGGTACAGACTTGGAAAGAGGAATACGAAGGCCCAGGGTCGAGGTCGAGGATGATGATGGGGCGGAGTGATGACTTGACTCTGAAGAGTCTTCAGCTGGGCCTGGCACTCCAGTGGGACCAACTGACCAGGACCCAGGACTCTTTAGATCATCTGTGTTTGTGTGCAAAGAACTATGGTATTCCTCTGTTGGACTGCCTGAAATGTGAACACAGTAAGTGCTATAAATAGTATACAGGTACAGTATACATGTACAGTATTCATATAGAGTCCCTATGATATCTGACCAAAGGGGGGGGGGGGGACATTTTTACTTGTGTACAAAAAAATGTATACAGTATTCCCTTTATATGTTTGCCCTTAGGACAATTATTTCTTTTACCTGTATTGTATATATGTATGTGTGTGTGTGTGTGTGTGTGTGTGGACACACACAAAACACATACAAATAAATAGCAATGGGAAAATACTCTCACAAATAATCAGAAATTTTTTTATTAAAAATGTGAGTCTACCCTCAAGTCCGTGCTTTACTTATTAAAGCAAGGACTTGAGGGTAAACTGTCACATTTTTAATAAATTTGTTTCCGATTGTATAGTGATATCCCCGTTAGCCGGAACAATTGATGCAGAGCACTTCAGAGAATGAGAGATTTCCGGGTAACGAGACGACTCTCTCAAAGCCGGAAAAAACTCCCTCATCCCAGAATTTTCCGGGTAACGGAAAAATGTTCTCGGAAGTTCCAGAAACTGCGCTTGATTTTCACCTTTCAAACCTGGAAAAAACTGCCCCATTCCCAGAATTATCCGGGTATCAAGAAAATTTTCTCAGAATTTTCTGGAAAATGTGCCACTCGGAAAATCTTTCCCAAATCCGTAATTTTCCGGAAAATTTGTTTCTGATTATTTGTGAGAGTATTTTCCCATTATTATTTACTTGTATGTGCTTTGCATGTGTGTGTGTCTACACACACATGCACACATATTACAATACAGGTAAAGGAAATCACTGTCTCTAAAACGAATGGCTCCCTGTCCCAGCCGCAAAAATGCCAGCAACTTTAAAACTACCCACAGACATTCTTGGGTACATCCAGAGTGTCATGCGCGAATAATAGAAGACCGTGAAATAAAAATCCACAAATTTGCGGGACCCCCTGTACTGTATAGGGCGAGTGTCACTGACAAAACCATTGCACCAAGCTAACAAGATTAATGTCATAATATTTTAGGTTAAAAATGATAAATGTTTCAGAGATGGTGTTAATATTTATAATGAGTAAGAACCAACCCTCTTGAACAATGATAATAACAGTGCTTGAGAGATGGCAAGTGCTGGCAACACTAATATTAAGAGTGGGTCAGTGTTACCGCTCTGTAAACACGAGACTGAAAATATACTATGACACATTAGCTCACCTGGGATGGAGTGTGGGATTTTGGGGGAAATGAATTATTTTTCAATAAGGTTTTATTAACCCAGCACCATAGGAACCCAAATAATATGGGAATTATGATGAATTGCAGACTGTTGTTATAAAGGGAACGTGGGCTACTGAGCAGGTGGTGGTAGAGTTGTCGTCACTCCCTCCATAGATTTCACAAAGGTGACGAACAGACACTACACCAGGGGTGTCAAAATTGCGGCCAGACACACTCTTGCATGCGGCCCGCGGCCCATTTGCTGCTCTAGCTTTACCTTGAGGAGCTAAAACTAAATAGTGAGTGTATCCCTTAGCTGAATAAAATAGTCTGCTGTTTCCTAGAACAAAATACTCAATCAACATTACCAATGAAAGAACAATAAGACTTGTTGCAGAAAGAATTGGTGAATTATCAGAGAATATTAATAGTAAACTCAAAGACAAAGGTGAGTCCTTTACTGTATTTTCAGTTGCAGTTGATGAAAGTACCGATGTAAATGATGTAGCACAACTTGCAGTTTTTATACGTGGTGTGGATGAAAATATGCAGGTAACAGAAGAATTTGTGAAACTGGTACCAATGAAAGGAACAACAACAGGTGATGACATCTTTGTGGGTTTGGTAGGGGCACTGGATAAATTAGGTGATGACTGGGCACAAACTGTGAGTCTGGCTACAGATGGAGCACCACAAATGGTGAGTAGAAAAGCTGGCGTGGCAACAAAACTAAAGGAAAAACTAATAGCTGTGAACTCGAACCACCAAATTTATAATGTGCATTGTATTATACATAAAGAAGTGTTGTGTAGTAAAACATTAAAGATGGATAATGTCATGGATGTTGTTATAAAGACTGAACTTCATACGCACGAAAGGTCTGAACCACAGACAGTTCAACTGCTTATTGGAGGAAAATGAGAACACAAACGGACTGCCATATCACACTGATGTTCGCTGGTTAAGTCAGGGAGTCGTACTGAAGCGATTTTATGAATTGCGCAGTGAAATACAGATGTTTATGGAACAGAAAGGAAGGGATTTGCATGAACTGAAAGATAATGAATGGGTTCAAGATCTAACTTTCATGGTGAATATTACAGAACTTAAATTACTTGAATACAAAAATGCAAGGACTCAATAAATTGGTGACAGTTTTATGACTGCATTCGTGCCTTTGAGGTGAAACTTCAGCTTTTTGAACGGCAACTATCAAAGAGTAATCTTTCTCACTTTCCGACCTTGAGGTCCCTGCAAGGCACACCTGAGTTTCAAGCTGATATCAACACAAAAAAGTACTGCATCAAGATTTCCAAATTAATGAATGAATTCCAAGAAAGATTTGCTGACTTTAAAAGACTTGAGAAGGATTTTTTCATTTTTCAGGACCCATTCTCTGTTGGTGTTAATGAGGTACCAGAACGTTTTCAGTTAGAATTAATTGAGCTCCAGTGTGATTCTGTGTTGCGGAACAAGTTTTCGAGTGTTGATGTTGGCACATTTTATCAATATTTTGGACCAAATTATCCCAGGATTAAATGTTTTGCCTCAAAAATTATGTCAATGTTCGGAAGTACATAAGTCTGTGAACAACTCTTTTCTGTGATGAACTTGAACAAGTCTCGGCTTTGGTCTCAACTTACTGGTGCGCACCTTAATTCAATACTGAAGTTTGCTACAGCTCAGTCGTTAGTGCCAAACTTTGATGCACTGGTCCATACCAAGAGGTGCCAATTATCAGGAAGCAGCAGCAGCAAACAATAAGATTGATCAAGGTAAGTAAACACTTGATTTGTTTGTTTGTTTTTGTCATACTAATCACCTAAGAGGTGATTGCGAAGTGCTCATAATTATGTTACTTGGCCCGCATACTATGTACTCATATTAAATCTGGCCCGCCTTGGCAAATGAGTTTGAAACCCCTGCACTACACTGTCTAGTTTATGTAATATTTAAAGCTTCTGCACAATGTTCAGGGAAACCATTTTTCTTCTTTGGGTCACTCGCAACTCCGGTAGGCTTTTTTGGCTGCTTAGATGTCATAATTGATGCAAAAAAGTAATACAAAATTTAAAATTATCACATGAGCACAGCACCGGCTGGACTTCAATGCCAAAACAAACCAACCGCAGCGCCACGGGAGCATTGCAGCAGGTAGAGGATTTATAAATTTTACTGTTAAATGCAAGTTGCCAGTAAATCCAGTGGCTGTTAAACCAAAGTTCAACCTGTATTAGACAAAAGGAACAATGAGCATCCCACAGAATACTGGTTTAATTTCCACCATCTCAATATCTATGTGTATAATTTCATATTACTATATATACCTGAAATAAAGTTCATTCTAGTTGTTGATGGACTGAATGATAAATGCGAATGCATTATATATATATGATGCACTTAATTCTTTACAGATTAAACATTGACAGTACAGTGTGGCTAATGATTAATTGGGTTACTTAAACACAGAACATAATTACCAAATGTGTGCACATAAAAACCTTCTGCCATCTAGCCATTCCAAAGCTTAGGTGATCAGCTTTTCAGATCTGCCTCCACTAATTTCTTCCATCTTCAGCCCAATGTTTTGCATCTCTCTCTCAACCAAGTCTCCTCCACCTTAACTTTGGTCTTTTCTTGATCTCCTGACCGGCTCCTTCTAGACTCTTAATCACCTTCCCATCCTCTCAATTTACCACTTAACAACAGCATGTCAGCCTTGTCCCTCTCATTGCAGTATCCACTTTTCAGTTCTCTCCAATAAAACCATCTTTCTCAATGAACACATCAACACCAGTCTAATTTTACTGGTTGATTCTCTCTTCTCTCTTATACAATACCCTGTACTGCACTCCATCGACAGGCAACTCCCAATTTACGGCAATATCTAGGAACCTCCTACCCTGTAATTAACTTTCAAATTAACAGCATGTTCAACCAAAATGAAGTTGCTCATTTGGCCAGACTTAATTCTACTATATTTTATTATTTTCAAGCAATAGTCACTGCATAAAACAAAACAATAATTGTAAAATTAAAATAAAATACAGCAAAATTTCAAATAAGACTGAAGTTCGGTGGTGGCTCATCTGTTTGGGCTGAAGCAGAAGCTTTTACACTTTACCAACAGATGTATGATCCTGAAGTTGAATTTTTTTTTAAACTCATATATACTGTACAAATTACAGCAAGTCCTCGCTTAACATTGTTTCAGTATTATGTCGCTGAACTTTAGAGACCAAAAATTTGTTAAACGTCCCGGTAATCCGATACTACTTTGTTTTGCGTCGTCCCGGACTACTTTCTACGGCGCATCACCCGCTCTTCTCTGGCCGCGCTACGCTCTCTCGGCTCGGTGCCCTCACTCGCGGAACGTCACAGTGCCCCCAAGCGACGCCAAGCCAGTCTCTGTTACGACTTCACATCATTCGTGCGTGCTTAAGTGTTTTTGCTCTAAAACTGTACTCTAACCATTCGAAATGGCTTCCAAGTGCCTATCAAGTGCTACTAATGCTAGTGTAGTGAAGAGGCAACGTAAGACCATTACCCTTGCTACAAAAATGGAGGTACTGTGTTAACCCGTTTTGAAAAAGGGGAACGTGCTATGGACATAGCCGCTGTGCTTGGTCTAACCCCCAGAACAGTGCGTACTATCCAGACCAACGTTGACAAGGTTAATGTTAGTGCTGTAAGTGGTTCTTCTTTGAGTGCTACAAAGACGACTCATACTAGAAGCACTGTGATAGAGAAGGTGGAAAAGATGCTGGCAATGTATATGGAGGACCAGAATCAATGCAATGCCCCTGTGAGCCTTATGGTTATCCAGCATAAGGCCAGATCCCTGTTTGACGACTTAAAGACAGAAGAGGGTGAAGGAGCGAAGGAAGAGATCTTTACGGCCAGCCGAAGATGGTTTCAACGATTTAAGCATCGTCATAACTTCCACAATATTAAGATGACTGGTGAAGCTGCCAGTTCAGATACGGTTGCTGCCGAGACATTCCCGCCAGAATTCAAACATTATCCAGCAAGGAGGCTACTCACTGAAGCAAATTCTTCAATGTGGATGAGACTGGTCTCTTTTGGAAGAGGATGCCTGAGAGGACCTATATCACCAAGGAGGAGAAAAGAGCACCACATTTTAAAGCAGCAAAAGACCGCTTGATGCTGCTGCTTGGCGCAAACGCCGCCGGTGACTTCAAGCTGAAGCCTGTGATGATTTCTCGCGCTGCCAACCCACGGGCCCTGAAAGGTTACTCTGAGGATCACCTTCCTGTCATTTACAAGGCAAACAAAAAGGCATGGATAACTGGCGCCATAGTTGTTAAACGTGTATGCCATCCCTACACTGAAAGAATACTGTGCCAAGGAGAACCTAACTTCAAAATTCTTCTGATCCTTGACAATGCTCCACCTCATCCTCCCAATCTCGACTACTTGCACGACAGTGTAAAAGTTGTATTCCTGCCTCCCAACACAAGAGCACTGATGCAGCCTATGGACCAAGGCGTCAGCGCCGCCCTCAAGGAGTATTATTTACGCAGTACCAAGGCCCAGCTGCTCAAGGCTACAGACGGAGAAAATAAACCAACGATCCGAGAATATTGGCGCGGCTTCAACATTCTTCATGCAATTGACAACATTGGCAAGGCATAGGAAGAGGTTTCAGAAAGTTGCCTGAATGGTGTGTGGCATAAACTGTAGCCCGAGTGCGTCAACAGTTTTACGGGATTCACGAACTTAAGCCCAGCTGTGAATAGGGATATCCTCAGCTTGGCTAGACAGGCAGGCTTTGATGAGCTGGAATCAGAGGATATTGAGAACGTCCTGGCATCCCATACAGAAGAGCTCACCAACGAAGATCTGCAACAATTAACAGAACACAGTCCCGTTGAAGACGACGAAGAGGCAGCTCAACGAACGCTAACTTCAAAGAGGTTGGCAGAATCGTTGAACATGTTCCAGCAAGCAATGCAAATGCTTCAAGATGATGACCCAAACAGAGAACGTAGCTCAAAAGTTCAATGCAGCATTGAGAACAGTCTTGGTTGCTACACCGAAATCTGTAAGGAGAAGAAGATGAGTAGCACCAAGCAGTCAACACTGGGTTCATTTTTTCGTCACGGGACGGCACGAGCTTCTTCACAACAGCCGGCAGCCGAGGAGGAGCAACCAGCGGGAGAAGAACCCCAGTCAGAGCAGGGGGAGGAGACAGCTGCAGTCTCAGTGACTCACCACCCTCCTCTCCCGCCCTTCTCCGCTACCACCCTCCTCTCCCGCCCTTCTCTGCTCCCACCCTCCTCCTCCACTCCCGCCATCCTCCTCCTTCGCTCCACTTCTCACCACACACTCGCTCTACCACCTCCGTCCATCAGTGAGTACCAATATAAACTTAGTACTGTAGTTCTATATACTATTCTCTATAGAAATGGTAATAATTTTCTGTATATGTAACTTTTTTCATGGGGCAAAGGGAGGTTCAGGAACGTAACTCCCGTATTTTATCTATTTCTTATGGGGAAAATTGATCTGCTTAATGTCGCGTTTTCAGGAACATAACCCCGACGTTAAGCCAGGATGCCCTGCACTTGTTTTCAAATTGTATTGCTCTCCAAACAAAATAATCATACAGAGTACAATATTTTCAATAAAAAAAAATTAAATTACACTTGAAATTTTATGTAACACCACCAATATAGGTACAGGTGTAACACCTTACAGCTGCAGCACGGTACTGCCAGTCACAGCATCAGTATTGTACTGCAGTCAACAGTTAGACATAAATTTTTTTATAAATATTTCAATCCCACCAGTTTTCAGCTTACTAGTCTGTTTTTTAGTATGACCGCCATTGTCCAGTTTTAGGAGAGGAAGAAACTGGAGTACCTGTAAAAATCTGCATTATTTAGTGATAACACATCTTACATCTGACCCAAGGATTGAACCTAAGGCAATTTCATTTCTTAAATGAGTTTGTTTAAACTTTCTGTTGGTAAAATATATGTAATTTTTTAAATGTCACCTATCAAGTTCAATGGGTATCTCACCTTAAGTTCAATTGAAGGGGCAATCATAACCCTTACCCCCTCCCCCACCCTTGGTAGAAAAACTGATTACAGTTCTATACCTGTACAGGGGGTCCCTGGGTAACAAATGAGTTCTGTTCCTGAGGATGTTCCAAAGTCGGAACACATGCTATATGCATACCATACTTACAAAACAATTTAAAATCCCACTATATCATAGCCTAAGTCCTTATACAGTATACATCTAAAATCACTTAATTTAAGACAAAAGAAGAAACAGAATGACAAAATACAGTAAACGAAAGTAAAAAAATATGTCATCAGGCAAATAATATACGTACTGTAAATTTCAAGTTTAACCCCGTTCGTATTTTGAGTGCCGTAAGTCAGGGACCTCTTGTATATTATAACTACGATTAAAAATGGACAAGTTGTTGGTAAGTTACTTACTAGGAGGCACATCTTGGGCTTCACCAAATGTTTGCTTATACAATCTCTTGACCTTGGTGTAAGCATGCTCATAGACCTTCCATGCTTTGCGTAACACCCAACCTCCTTTGACGTATGAACCAATCTCTTGTTGGAGGAATGTGAGGATGGCCAGAAGTACCTGACAGTCAGCTAGAATCACCTGCTGCTCCAGCTGTGAGCCTGGTTCCTCTCCCTAATGATGGAATGACAGGGGTAAACTAAAAATGCAATAAACAGAAAAGTTGGAAGGCAACCAAAATAATAAAAAACAACAAACTTAGAATTTGGTGTATGGTGATGATACTATTATTCCTTAATACTGTAATATATATACTGTATATGTATGTGTGTGTATATATATATATATATATATATATATATATATATATATATATATATATATATATATATATATATATATATATATATATATATATATATATATATATATATATATATATATATATATATATATATATATATATATATATATATATAGTGTTTTCCTTCTCTGACAAGATACTGCAGAAACTACATTTTACAATGAAAATTAAAATAAGAAACAATATACGTATGTGTACTGTAACCCACACAGCAGCCAATATCTGTAAATGACACACCTGTTCTTGGCCATTCCTTGACCCCATGACAATGCTCTTAACAGAGGAGAACCATCCATTTTCTCCTCCGCCACACCTCCTCTCCATGCTCCGTAGTGTTTCCATGCTGTATGTCACCTTCTCCTCCTCAAAAGACATGACTGCATTCTAAAATAAATACACAAGAATTATTTATATACATATTGTACCTATGCAGTAAACTAATAAAGTAACATTTGCTATAATTCTTTCCTTGCAATGATGAATTTGCCTCTGTATAGTCTCCTAAGCCCAAGGTAATACATTACAGTATGAAGAAAGTATATACTCCAAACTTTAATAGGGGATAAAACACAAACAGTTACAGATGTCAATTAAAAAACAATAATAAGCAAGACTACAAATGTCTACTCAGATTCAGATTAAAACAAAAGAGAAAATCTGAAAATCTAATATTGACTGCTGTCACAGCCTACCATAAAGGTGAGGTAACAGTGGCCCATTGCCATGTGGAGATTATCTTGTGTGTGGTGACGGAAGAGTTCTTCTGCCTCGGTGAATCTGTTGTTGAGCATCAGTTGAATACCATCACGGGCCAGTCTGGTGTACTCCTCTGGTCCCAGACTCTGTCCACTCCCACTCTCTGCTTCTGCACCTCTTCCATCTCCCTTGTCTCCTCCCCCACTAGTGTTGCTGTTTCCTCCTGCAGAACACATCTTGTACCTCCCTCTTCCAAAGATCAACCCATCACTAAACCTGAAACAAAAAATGTAAATAACTTGATCTAAAATACAAGACAAAAATGACTTCTGGCCAAGACCCAAGAAACCAAAATATTTTTCTTTATAGAAGCAAAATAAATCTTTCTTTGTTCTGTATTTTATAAACCTGATCCTCATTGGTCTTCATGAAATACAAATCATATTAATTCAAGAATTATTTTATTCTTTCTCTTTCCACAAAGAGTAGGATTAATAATAAAGATATGGTTGACCTTAACCAAACATCAGCCACTGCACCTTCCCTTGCAGTCATACACCCACATTCTTCTTAACTTTTTCTTTTTTTTACGGGGAATAGCCCACCCGGGCACAGGCCATTGACCCAAAATGGGGCCTAGGGGGAAAAAATAAGAGTAAAGAAAAAGATTACTGTAATCTACAGCTTTTTGAAGTGAGACAGTGAGGCAGAGCATTCCACAGTTTGGTTGTGTGAGGAAAGAAGGATGTACTATAACGGGTTATTCTAGTGTGACTGACATCCACAGAGAAACGGTGGGCACTGCGGGCAAGACGAGTGTTACGAGCCCACAGCCTTGCTGACAGTACACAGGATGCCAAATCCACCGAACATTGTCCATTAAAGTAGTACCTGTAAGAGAGAGAGAGTGAAGCAACATTGCAGCGAAAAGAAAGGGAAGAAAGATTATCAACTAAAGGAGGAGAGTCAATAAGACGAAATGCCTTTGATTCCACCTTTCTAACAGATGGACAGAAGAAGAGCCAACCCAGATATGAGAGCAGTACTCCAAGTTATGACAAATGAAGTGTTGTGGAGTTAAACTAGACTACTAGAGGCTGTGTTTTGATGATAATGAATGTGGAAATAGGAACAGCTTGGTGGAATCAAGGCTTTGAGACATCTATGGAGCAATAGACAAGACTAAGGAATGAAATTAAAGGTTTACTGGTTGCTACTGAAAAATATTAATAAAATAAAGGAGTAGAGTATAAAGCTGGGATTAAGAGGGTAAAAACAAAATGGTAAAAGATTTAATGTAGACAAGGATTTTGAGACGAGGTCATATGAAAACTTCAGTGAAGAGGGTTAATTTTCATGGACAATATACTGTATATACAGGGGGTATTTAAATTTATCAATTGACCACTTATCAGCTTGCTAGCTTTTCAGGCACTTCATCTATTCTTTGTTTCTTTGTTATAAAATTTAATGTCCAGTGTTAGTGCAGGAGGAGACCGGAGTACCCAGAGGAAACCTGCTAATATTGGTACGGTCACACTGGTCTTTCCCATGTGTGTGTCTAGGCTAAGACTCAAGCCCATGACACAGCAGTGAGAGAGAAGTGTGTTCCCACTGTACCACCAACATGTGTCCAAGAGAGGGAGGTGTTTTGGAAAAGGATTGGACGACGTTGATGAGAAAATTAAAAGAAAACTGGAAAATTTATTTTAAGCGATTTAGTAGATATGATGTAGGCAAGAGAAAACATATAAGTACTAGCTACAAGAGGACTAGAAATTAGGAGAGAATGAATGACATACCATGGAGAAAACATTACAGTAAGGCAGGTGATACAAGTAGTACTGCATGTAAGAAATAGTAAGTCAGGGGGTGTACAGCGTATGTACCAGTAGTAGGGTATATGTAGTGATTAAAAGATGGGGAGAAATAATTCAATGGATGTGGGAAATGTTTAACAACCAGGGCAGAGTAGAGGAATGCTGTTATTAAACCCTCGTTCCATATATAGATAAGGGAAGTCAAAATGAATGTATACAAATTTGAGGAGGGTCAGTTACTTGAGCATGAGAGGTAGGGAGGATGTTCATTAATTATGTAAGAAGCATTAGTTACAGAACCACTTAGATACAAGGTTTTAGGTAAGGAAGAAATCAGTTCAATTCTCTATACTGAGAATCTAAGAGAAATAAACTGTACAGTACAGGTAGAACCCTTCCATATATTTACAAACATTATTTACTATAGTTACCACAGAAACAAACATCAATGAAGCACAATAGAAAAAAAAAGTCTGTGAACAACAGTACAGTACTGTACAGAATATGGTAATTACCAGTAAATATCCACACATGACTATAAAATAACACACCAAGGTTCCCTATCTGGGAGCTTGGTGGACTATCCAGTGTGTATTAGCGAGTGACTGACTTAGTTTACTTTGACTAAGGCTCACAGGATAATTGTAATTACAGTTCTCTTATCCACATTAATAGATGTGCAATTTACTGCTACCCACATTAATAGACATTATATATATATATATATATATATATATATATATATATATATATATATATATATATATATATATATATATATATATATATACACAGTTAACCCTCACTTTACGCGGTTAATGTAACCCGGAGGGTCCCGCGTAAAGTGAATAACATAATATATGGGATTAATTGAAATGGAGTCCGGGCCGATCCCCAAACTCCACTTTTTGACGACACACAACTATGTTGTAGTAAAAATATTATCTTAACTTTATGATGGTATGCACACACAATTAATAATTAAGATAAATATCAATAATATTAGGTTCTTTAACACTTACATTAGTAGAAAAAATGGCTGGGCACACGGGGATGGGCGGTTGGTTCCTAGGCAGAGGGCAGATTATTGGCCCTCACCTGTGTCACTTGTATCA